ACACATCGAAATGCCCTGGAGGCGATCCTCACACAACGATTCGTAATCTATAGAATCAAGGCATCGAAGTGTTGCTTGCGGCACTCGTGAATGCCAGGGCGGTGCTAGATAGCTACGTCAGCGAGGGTAGGCGAGCGAAGGATACAAGACTTCGCACCGAAGAGTCGTCAATCTATGAAGCGATGTCGCCCAATGGAAAATCTCAACATGATCTGTATCTGAGCAGGTTGGATGTCATGGTGGCGCAGGCTAGAGCGCTTAGGACTCTGGTAGAAGATTTCAAGGATCAGTTTGGAGAGGATTGGGATTGGATGAAGAGGTTGGAGCGCGCTGAAGATGGTTCTGAGCAGGGTTGGCAGACGTGAGCGAAGATTAGATGGGAGGGCCTCAGAGTGTGTAGTGGAGCCGCTAAAAGCGGTCCAATGATAAACGGCCAGTATGAGTATTCAGGATATCAAAACAAATTGAGACCCACGCGATGTCATCACTTGCCTTGCTGTATCAGCAGATCCTCCAACAAGCAAGCGATGCACAACCAAGTGCAGGTATAACACTAGCAGCATTGTTCCCTCGTTACATCCTTCATTGGTTGATCACATACCACTTACTTCAACGATCATAGCATGTCACCTCCACCCAAGGAAATTGTAAGCTCGGATACCACTGCTATCACACAATCGCTAAAAAAGGCATATGACTCTATCTTGAACAGCGTCGCCGTTTCGATCCAATGGCATGAAAAGGTCAAAGAGCAGCTTCGAGTGGCCCATGACGACTTGAAGCGTAGTTTACCTCATGGTTCCATGACTACACAATTGTCGACGAAGCTCCGCGGTCTGGAAATAGTGGTGTCTTACGCCCAATCAATCGTTTTAATGCTCGAGGAGTTCCCGATCAACATTCGCGCTGAATGGAAGCCGGTGAAGAAAGCAAGTCTAGAGCAGCGACGGGTGTTCTTAGAAAAGAAAGGAAGAGAGCTCAACAAACAGCAGAAGGCGTTCAGAGTGGCGCTGGAGCCTGCGGTGACTGAAGGAGGATGCAGTTTTAAAGTATAAGTAAAATGGAGGACGAAGTGGAAGAAAACGGGACAGTGAGCGTTGTCGGTGAGCACAATGGAGTCGGACTGACGGCCGTTGAGCAGAAAGCGTTGATTGCGTCTCGTGTATTTACCGATGATCAAACAGGGCATGAGAGCGAACACGTACTACAGCACTTGCCGATATATGTGTAGGAGCTCGTCCAAATTGAATCTAGTCAATTACTTGATTCAACCAATTTGTCCGCAAGCTTATCTGCAAACGAAGACTAATGATCAGGGGGCTGTGATGTGTACGAGCCTTCGGAAACATTGTCGATCGCACGCCGCTGTACAACACAGGGTCGAAGATTCCGAGGATGTGGCGCTCAACGGAAGCACGCGCGTGCATAACGCATGTATCGTCTCATCCATATGTCGTGTTGCTGAATTGGTTCACCCCGACGGCAGGTACTTGTTTTGCGACGCACGAGATTAGGTAGTGGTCGGTAGTGTCTCGAAACCGCTCCATTTGGTCCGAAGTGTGCATTAAATAACCAAAATACTCTCGTCATGACAAGGAATTTTGAAACCTGTCATATGTGATGGTTCTATGGTGACGCTGTGTCTGGAGCCCTCAAGGGCTGCCTTTCCGGGCGTGCACGCTGTCCAGGCCAGCGAGGATGGCGAAATTAGCTCGCCACATTCACGGTGTCTGAGCTGATGATGAACGGTGTACCGGGTAATACTAGAATAAATGATAGATCGGTCCGACCTTGCTTGTACCAGCAAGTGCGAATGAGGTGGTGGTGGTGATCACGACCTCGGGAGACTTGTGTTCGAAACCAGGCAATTCACTAGCGTGCCTTATTTAGACAAGAGCCTGTGGAGATCGGAAAGCGTCTTCGGCCTCTCCACCTCCTGCGTTTCTGAAACTAACTACCAATCTCAGTCTCAGTTGATCTATCTCCGCATGGAATACTACGAGCAACAAGATCGGATATATTCAGGTCTTGCTTAGGAAATAATGTGTCCTCATCATTGATCGTGAATACGACCGCCTGATCGATATATATATACAACGCAACACGATCTATGAAGCCTGCGACATACATCGACCACGATAGTGATAGTGCTGCAGACCTTACCCGACAGTATGGATACAGTTATCAAATGCGAGATCGATAAATCATGCACGTCAACATTCATTTCCCTTGCATCGCCTAATGGCTTTCATGCTTCCGCACCTCAGCCATATCTCGGGACTAATTCTCTCTTCAATCTTAGTTGCCTCTCGCAATGATTTTGAAGGGTAAAATAGTTCCCCGACGGCAGAGCATACGAGGCACCATAACACACCTCGATTCGCATGTCCACACGCATGGAAAGGGGTGCAGTCATTATGTCCCCACCGAAAAACTTCACACGCGGCGTTCTGTTCACACTAAGCATTCTAGCCACGTCCATTTATGCACTCGAAAGTTCTAGCCAAACGAGTTCAAGCACTGTGCCTTCGAGAAGCACATCGACAGGAACTGACGGCGGCCGCGTTCTGCCCACCGGCGGATGGATCAGCCCAGAGTACAAGTGGTTTTTCCAATTTCCGTTGCCAATGCCGCCGGTTAAGCAGCCAAAGCTGTATGTTGAGCACTATCTAACGCAGTATCGATTCCCAAATATTGACTACACTAGTACATACACGGACAAAGTTACAGGAGGGGCGATCGACTTCTACGAAATCGAAGTCAAAGCTCTTGAGAAACAGGTATACCCAGACTTACCTCTTACGCACATGGTAGGATATGATGGAATAGAACCTGGGCCCAAGCTTATGATGCGGAAGGGTCGAGGCAAGTGTTTCGTCTTCATGTATGGTCTAAAACTAACATACCGTGCAGAAGCAGTCGTTAGATACATCAACAACGGTCCAACAAAGATGTCAGTACATGTTCATGGGCAGTACAACCGGGCGCCTTTCGATGGATGGGCATCGGACTATGCTTATCCTGGTCAATTCAAGGACTACCATTATCCGAATGCTCAAAATGCCCGCACCATCTGGTATCATGTCAGTATAAAGTGAGCTTAGTATCAAAATCTCTGCTCATGATTCCCAGGACCATACCGAGTTCGAAACGAGTGTCAATGTATACATGGGGCAAAATGGCTTCTACCTCTTGTCCGACGACGAAGAAACCGCTCTGAGGCTGCCTACTGGAAATTATGACGTTCCACTCTTGATCTCTGCAAAGGAGTACTCTAGAAATGGATCTCTCTTTTATGACACCAACGGAAACAACGGACTTCCGGGAGACATCATACAAGTGTGAGGCACTCATTAATCAGTCCTTTCATGACTACCTAGGTATTGACATCGATCCAGGAACGGGCAGCCGTGGCCGTACATGGCTGTTGAGCCACGGAAATACCGCCTTCGTTTACTCAACGGTGCCGTGAGTCGTTGTGCGTCGTCTCCATGACTTATACTTATGTTCTCTTTCTCACGGATTCAGCATTTACCCTTTCGCTCCATGAAGGATTCGAAGGAGGCGCCATAGGTTTCGATGTCATTGCCTCAGATGCCGGCAAGTCTCATGAGGTAAGCTTGGATACAGACAGCTGATACTATCTAGGCCTCTTCAATCATCCCGTTCGGACCTTGTCGTTGGCTTTCGCCATGGGCGAGCGATACGAGATTATTCTCGACTTTGCGGCTTTCGCTAACAAGAACATAACCATGCGCAACGCCAACGGGATATTTGGCAACATTGACTTCGCCGCCACCGATCGAGTCATGCGCTTTGTTGTAGGTACCTCTGTCAGCGATGGCAGCAACAACGGCGCCATCCCAGCCAACCTGCGCTATATCCCTCCGCCACCGCAAGTGAGCGTGACGAGGAATTTCACGTTTGAGCGTGATCTTTCCAACGGAAAGTGGCTCGTCAACGGCGTGGGATGGGCCGATGTGGAGCATAGGATCTTGACACGACCTGCGCTTGGAGCAGACGAGATATGGGAGTTTCACAACGGGAACGGAGCCGGTGTGCATCCGGTACATATTCATCTGGTCGACTTCCAGGTGCTGTCCCGAACGGGCGGAAGAAATATTGTCACACCCTATGAAGCTGCAGGAATGAAAGATGTTGTATGGCTCTCTGCAAATGAGACTATAAGGGTTGTTGCAAGGTACGCGCCGTGGCCAGGTGTCTAGTGAGTTCATCTTTCGTTCAAGGTTTCGTGATGTCGCTCTAACAGCTGATAGTATGTTTCATTGTCATAATATGGTTCATGAAGATCACGAGTAAGTTTCAACGTCATGCCACGAGTAGCAAAGCTGACACCTACCAGTATGCTTGTTGCGTTCAACGTCACCAACCTTGCGAAATGGGGCTATGATAACTCAACTCTATTCATCGACCCTATGGAACCTCAATTTCGGCCAAAGAACATCAATGCTGATGACTTCACAGAGGAGGCAATTCACAAGAAGCTGGACTGGTTTTGGAGCTTGAATGCGTACAACCGGACGGCTACACCTTCGACAAAGAAGAGACGAGAACACAACTTGTCAAAAGACACATGCGTATGAAGCAAGGACTACATGTTGGGGTCGAAATTCTAGCAAACTGCGCATGTAGGTTCCAAAGCCCACTGATGTAAATGCGCACTGCGACCAGCGCAACACGACAACTCCCTCTATCATAGAGTAATCTTAAAGGATATCCACTAGATGCACTTCTATAAATACCTTCAAAGACTTTAATAAAGCACAGTCATGTTGCTTTCTGTGGAGTGCCATTCGGTAGTGTGCATGGGCGAGTTAGCCTAAAATAGATGGCCTATCGCTTGTTCGTATCTCCACTCCCGAAACGCTTTGCTCATCGTCTAACACTCACTGTCCATTGATATCACGTATATGTTTTACTTCTTTTCAATCGTTGTCATCACAACATGACTTCTCATCTTTGGCCTAACCGCCAGATCATCTTCGCTAGTATAGTGGTCAGTATTTCTGCTTGTCATGCAACTCGCAGGAGACCTGGGTTCGATTCCCAGGCGGAGAGAGATATCTTTTTGCATCGCGAGAGATTTAGGGGTGGTGGTTGGTAAGTCGGGTGGTGGGGTGGGGGATGAAGGGCCTAAATAAAATTTTGCATATGGCCCGTGCGCCACCAACATCGGACTCCACTACGCGTGTAAGATGTGGTCGATACTCTTTTTGTGCTTCATTTTTATACTTCGGGTATATATGCATCTTTGGTGGGGATGCTGTATAGTATAAGAGAGTTGGCGAATATGTCGGTCAGTGGAGACGCATCTCTGACCATAACAACGTCAACATCAGGACCTGTAACGAAGAGTCAAACCTTGCCGTGGGAAGCGCACCATCTTCTCAGCCGTCCTAGTCGAGATGTTCATATCAGCGCGACTCAAACAGAACCCTGGAAATTCCCACATCTTTTCCTTATCAGCCTACTAACAACCTTGAACGCACCACAGCAAATTCTGTATACTCGACCTCATCTAAAACTGTCAGACCAGGTAGATTATCCAACACCCATCTCAGTGTTCTATCCATCTCTGAAGTCCCACCTACTTCAGCCTCCCCCTACCCGCAAGCCACCCCCAACAATTCCAACCATACCACCCCTGTCTATCCACAGCACAAGCCACCCCAGATTGTCAGGCCCCAGGGAATTTTCACTGGGTCCGGGGACGCCTGCTAGAAGAACATTACGTTGGGAAGTTTTGTTGATAGAAGTGCGCATGTTTCAAGGGTTCCCTCAAATGCGTGGTACCTTTCTCAGGGTCCACCCATGATTCATGAAACAGCGCCAGCGTCAACGCCGTTGATCGAAATTGTGGGTCTGTGGGGCTGCAAGGACGTTGGCTCAAGGTTTACGGTTGGAAACTCTCTTAGGCGATTCGCACTCGCACACTCTGAGGCGGAGAAATTCGGAGGACTCTTTTGGAGCATTCCCATGGAGCCTACCATGTTCATCGCCATGGCGAATTCGGGCCGACTTCGGCAACGGCCGAGAGTTGCCGACCGCTTTGTTGTGAGTAGCTTCGGCACTTTTCTGGTAGTCTAGTGTGGTTGGGATTGCGTTGAGGATCGGGAGCCGCACATTTTGATCGGGGACGGGCTGTGACGCCATATGTTGGGCCGAGGAACCGCTACCTATTGTCGCAGAATGTCACTGCGATGCGATGGACCTCGGGATGTTGGCGGTGTGTGCTGTTTTGTTGGAGCTGTAGTATTTGTCATCAGGAGACAGGAGTGACTAGGAAGATTGAGCGGCAGACTTTGAGTGTGGGTTAGATCGCCATGTGAAGAGTGAGCGGCTTGGTGGAGAATGACAGAGCGCATTGCTCGTCTGGTATCATTGAGAATGTGCCGAAAGTTGGCAATGTGTAGCAAGCATGATTTAGGACCTACGTGGGTACATGCGTAAAGGCGAAAATCGCCAGTTCGTGTAAAAAGAGACAAGAAAATGCCCATATTCTCCAAACACCGTTTGCTATGCCGAGCGAAATACCGAAATAAAGACTATCGCAACGAGTTACTCCTCAATCACACCTGTCTTGAGCATACTCTCCTTGAGAGCCTTCTTATACTCGCGTTCCATACCGTGTCTGACAGCGTCGAGAACAGTGTCGACAGTTGCCTTGGGCTGGAAGCGAGGCTTGGTTCCTTCCTGGAAGACACCAGTCCTGACGAGGATGGAGTACCAATCAGCTTCGTCGGTGTAGTTGTCGTATTCATTGGTGCCTCGAACATCGGACTCCGGGGTGTCGCCGACGAAGTACACGGTCGATGGCGGCGAGTCAATGCCGTGTGTGTCCTTGCGCCAGCGCTGAAGCAGGCGAGTGGCAAACTCAAAGGTACCAATCTGAGGCTTGCCAAAAGCGGTGGTCTGCAGGTCTTTGCCAGTAACAGCCTTGAACATGGCTTCGAGAGACACACGAAGGGCTCCCATGCCAATTCGGGTGAGATCGTGGGAAGCGCTCCAGACAACGTCGTTGTGCGAGAAGAAGACTGGTGGGCCGTCATCGAAGTTCTCGGACCTAGTACCAAGGCGGCCGTTCTTAGACATCAAGAGATCGAGGATGATCTGCTGATCGGAGGCCCAGTCTCGCGAATCGGCGAACACGAAGATGGCTTCTATCTCGACCTCGGCGAAGTTGCGGGCACGAGAGTTCTTGTACTCGTCGTCGGTCAACTGACGGAAGGGAGTGGTGTCCTGGTTGTCCTTGATTATATCTCCAGGTGTGACACTGATGATGTTAGTCTGGAGTTCAAAGGGCCTTCGGCGACGATTGACTTACACATCCTTGAAGCCGTAGCCTTCAGCGACCAGGCGGCACTTCTCGCCTTCCCCGCCGACGACAAGAACAGTGTTGAACTTCTCGGCCATCTCTCTCATGGGGGTATGTCCGCAGATGAACTGTCCTGGCGAGACCTCCAACTCTAGTTGCTGGCTGAGTTGAATGCATCGCTCAGCCTCAGTCTTGCCGCCACCATTTGTCACAAAGATGTAGGGGACTTGAATGCCATACTCGTTCTCGCCGTTCAGCATCTTCATAGCCTCGATGGCTTCGGGAATGGGTCGACCTCCCCGAATGAGGACACCATCAATGTCGAACGCGAAGGCATACTTGTCGGTGACAGAGGTCTCAGGTGGGGTGACGATAGGCGAACCCGGAGACCCAGCAGACTCGAGATGATGCCTGGCTGTTTCGAATTCAGTCGCAACCTCGGAACCGGTTGATGGGGCCATGAGGTGTTGGGGTGGGACAACTACTGTCGGCCCCATCTTTATGCTCTCACGGGTGGCCTCCCTAGACGAAAGCCTGCGTGTGAAGCGGGTACCCGTAGGTGAGACGGCAAGAGACGGTGTGGACATCTCGAATGCGTTGTGGTCTTGCAATATGTGCCTTGAAAAATGGAATGAGTTCGTGCTCAGACTCGGTGGCACTGTGGATGATGGGTCTGGGGAAGTGGAGGAAAAGTGGTCTTTATACGCTTGACGATCGACGTGTGGATGTTACTCCAGAAGGACGGAGAAAAGAAGTGGGTAGTGTGGAGTTGAACTGTGGATGTGACATTCAGGAGTCGGTGTAAGGGTTCGGCGACATGTTTTATACGAACATTCAGAACACATTTTGCTCTCCCAGTGTTTCATTACTCATGACATAGGGTCGCATAACCTATGGTGAACAATTCGCCTGCACTCGGACGTCAACCGTCGGGCCCTGAGCAAAAGCTTATCAGTTGGGATTCACCATAGTGCTTAGTTGTGGATCCATGGCGTCATAGTCTTTGGATCAGGAACAACGGACATCTACAAGTCTTGGTGTCTTGATAGCGGCATCCGTATGAACGGTACATGTGGCCGTATGGGAAATGGCTGTGCCGTGTTCCTGTAAGCTCATTCGGTGATGAACGCCGGCAATGTTGCAGTTGAGGTGGACATGCAGGCACCGGAAGCGGGTCCCTACGCCAATGACAGATTGGCGAATCATCTAGGGGTCACTAAGGTCTTTTTGCAAGTCGCATTGCCATGTGCATTGCCACGGCCGCGCTCGGGTGGTGTAGCTGTGGAACGGTGGTTCGAATTTTCGACATTTTTCTGCATAGTGACGTCATTGCTGATTAGGGCGCATTTGGCCGAAGCACGTTGTAATCGCTTGCTCGGCACCCCAGGCCGTCGAAAAACCATAGCCTGCGACAAACTATTACTTCAGAGTGTCCATCTCAAAAGTCTCAAGCGAGAATGATCCGGACGAGTTCTCGTCGCCAAGGACCGAGCGGTTAAAAAGAGGAAATCTTGAGGCCTGAAACTGATCTTTCGGCACACGTTCCCTTTGCGAGGCTCGTTTACTGCATCTTGCGACTTAAGAGGCTATGATGTGCAACCACAGCTTCCAAAATCGCTGCGTATGCTCCCTGGTCCAATCAGCGCTGCGAGTCTCTGGTAGTGAACCCTTATCGGTCCCTTCACATGCTGCGCGCATAACATCCTTCGTATGGAAAAAGGCGCGTGCATAATCGCGGCAGAACCAGCTTACACGTAGTGGACCGCTTGTAATATGTACCCACAAACGTATAGGTAATCGCGCTTGACGTAATTCATACTACCACAGTACCCTGTTGAGTCTCTGGTGGTGAGGATAGGGTCTGACAGCTTGCAGATACTTGTTTCAGCGGCCAGATAGCGCAATATCCGAGCGACAGCAGCAGTGACGAGGTGTTTGGGTAACAGAGTAATGAAGTTGCCTTCATGAGGCCATCGATGGTGTAATGAAATAGTGACGGACATAGTAATGTGGTGACGTATTGCACTAAGCTGAAAGCCACACAAACTGATGGCCAGAGAACAACCGCATCGAACTTGCATTTAGGTCAGTGAATTTCATGTGGTAGGGCACTTATTAGCCATGTGCTTAACAATGTCGCACATAACACACCTTCTTAAAGCGAACAGGGTTAGAACGCGGAGGCAATTTGGCCTAACCACCCCATATGTTTTTGCAAGCACCATCAGTACACAGGAAAAGTAAATCCTCGCTGGATTGTTGCGGTCGTTTTCTCGGAAGCGACGGCTTGTAGAGGTAACAGGACTGCCAAGAAGAGTGGATACCTATCAGCGCGAGGACCTTGGGTTGCGATGAGATGGTCTCGCTTGGAGAGGCTCAATCTGCCTGCCTTTCAGTGATACATACTTGCATTTCACCACCATGCTCGGTTCGAAAAGTTAGACTAAGTTGCAATTGATCCCCTCGTTTGTCAGACCGATTTCCTTCTAGACACACGAAGTTTTGGCCGAGCGTCGGTGAGCGCCGAAGTCTTGCTCCACCTGGACGTTGATGTGGGGATGCCGATCACCCCAGGAGTTTCCACAATACATTCGAAGAAAGATACACGGGCCAAAGTTGAATGGTGGATACTCGGTTCACCGCTATTTCACGCCCAGCTCTTTTCGCCAAAACAACCATATCGACTTTTGATAGATGGGGTAAAGTAGCGCCGGGGGATGACTGCAGCGCACCACAAGCTGAA